GATCAACCAGGCTATGACTCATACGTCAGGCTGCGAGCAGCCGCGTCTAACAGCCTGGTTGATCAGTCCAGCAACCAGGAGGCCTGGTCGACGACCGGGCCGCGGGGACACTAAGCCCCGGAAGCACCTCAAGGTAGCCTCAAGGTAAGGGGCACACGCACCAGGAGACACAGGTTGAAATTGAAAACCCCCAGATAAGCCATAGAGACGTTAGAAATAATTTTTTCAGTGTCAGAGTAGTAGACAAATGGAATGCATTAGGAAGTGATGTGGTGGAGGCTGGCCCCATACACAGCTTCATGTGTAGATATGATAGAGCCCAATAGGCTCAGGAACATGTACATTAGTTGATTGACAGTTGAGAGGCGGGACCAAAGAGACAGAGCTCAAACCCCGCAAGCACACACACACACACAAGATATACTTGGTGAGTATACAGGCCGCCCTTGTAACCACACAACACAAGGGGAGAACGTGTGACCAAATGTTTCTGATACCCAGGTGGCATGTGATTTATTTACCTCCAGCACTCAACGGGAATAGGGAAGAGAGGGGAGTGGGAGGAAGGAGAGAGGAGAAGGGAGAGAGAAGAGGGGGAAGGAGAGAGGAAGAGAGAGAGGGAGGAGAGAAGGACAGGGAGGAGAGGCATACATTTCTTGGCTGACCGTTAAAATGTGCATTGTTATGCTTAACTTGCTATGTGTTGTATTTTTTATGTTAAGAAGCATTCCCCAGTTTTCTGACCATTTGTGGAGTTCGTGTTCTCTTCATGATGTTCTCTTCATTAAGCCTCAATTAAATTTTCACTTCCAACTTTACCATAAATCATCTGCATTTATCATTGTACCATCAGCAAATCTGATTATATAATTTGTAATATTCTCACCTACGTCATTGATGTATATGACAAACATGGTTGGTCCCAAAATGGAGCCTTGCGGTACCACATTCACCACATTTCTCCGGCAGGTTCATTTCTGCTTAGGACGACCTTTTGCCTTCTTTGTGTTAACCATTATTTTATCCATTCTAATATTCTAACATTTATTCCATGTGCTTGAAATTTCCTTGCCAGTGCTTCATGTGGTACATTATCAAAAACTTTCAGAGCAGGCCATGTATACTACATCAACTGGAAGTCCGTTGTCTGAATAGCTTGTTTCCATTTCCTAAAAATGTGAGCAGGATTATAGGGTAGGATCTGTTTTTAACAATAATCCATATGTTGCATTGATTTTAAACGATTGTTCAATGTGAGATGAGTGATTCCTTCCTTTAGAATTCTCTCCATGAGCTTGCAGATGTGTGATGTCAAGTTGATCTGACGATAGTTTTCGAGTGAGCACTATTTGCCTTCTTTGAAAATAGGGGTAACATTTGCATACTTTCAATCAGTGGAGAACTATCCCTTGGTCCAGAGATATTCTGAAATATCGGAGTTTCGGTGGTAGATATTGTTCATCTGCCAGTTCCTTTACGACTTTGGATTGAATTCCATCCATACCTTGGGCTTTTGAATGTGTTAGATTGTCAATGCTCCTCTTAATTACATCGTATGTTATGGGAGTATCTCTTAATTCGTACTCTTCATCTGCTTCAAACTTTAGTGGGGGTTTTGCGTGTTTGGGGAAAATGTTTAATCTTTCTTGTGTGAACGCTGATGTAATGTATTCATTATCAGTGTTTTAGAAAGTTTTCTTTCGTAGTTTCCTATGGCTGATCTGATTTTCCGGTTGACTGAATTTAATATATTTAAGGTCTCTCATTATATCTCATAATCTATGTTATTCTTTGTTGAAGTGCCACCTGCTCCAGAGGTTCAGCTCTTACATTACTGCCTGTGTCATCACTTTTGTTCTCTTTTTTTCTTGTCACATATTTTTAACAAGTTCAGTGATGACTTATATGAAGTTTTCCCACGATGCTTCCATGCTTTGATCACCTATTAACTCCTTCAGGAAGTGTTTTACAATTCCTCTCTCATTCCTTGATAGTCTCCTCGACAGTGGTCTAGAAAGTCATCATTCTAGACCCTTACAAGTGTTTCTATAATTGTAATCCATCTTAGAATATTGTGATCACACGAAGGGGCGGGCATTTCTTCCCCACCTGTATAGGACATGTCATGCCCTCTTCTGATGTTAGCACAAGATCTGGAAGGCTGTTACTTCCACTGTCAGTTTGCTACTATCTTGAGTTAGCATGTTGCACCGTACAGACTCTGAAGAGCCCATGGCGTTCAATTTCTCATTGCTGATTATATTCATGTTCTCGTTTACATACAGCATCACACCATCTGCTCTTGTTGTTCTGAGAGGTGGACGGTATCCTGGGAGATGGAATTTCCCTTCAATTATCTCCTCTCGTCCCCATGTTTAACTTCAACCACTTGGGCTGGACGGTAGAACGACGGTCTCGCTTCATGCTGGTCGGCGTTCAATCCCTGACCGTCTAAGTGGTTAGGCATCATTCCTTTCCCCCGTCCCATCCCAAATCCTTATCCTAACCCGTACCAAGTGCTATATAGTCGTAATGACTTGGCGCTTTCTCCTGATAGCACCCTTCCATGTTTCACTGATGGCAATGTGGCCGAGATTCTCAGCCTCAGCGCATGTACACTGCATCAAATTTATTTATTAAGCTTCTGACCTTCGTATAAAGTCATTCAAACTGCTGACATTGTTCCTAGAGCTGGGAGATTGCTCAAGCATTTTGCTCCCTATTATTTCCTACATTGTCATTTAGATTTTATGCGTGTTTGTCGTCCGAGATATACAGGGTTAGTTCAGCCTGGCTGAGTGAAGGACTCCGTCCTCTCTTCCCTCCTCTGTCACGACCACTCGCTCTCTGGGTCGTCAGCTTGCAATATCTGTATTGGTCCGTGTTTATTATTTCTTTTAGTTTGTTTCTGTCATGACCCAACATATACCAATTAAGACTGGATACACTGTGGTCACTCTATAAGTGTCAGTTATTACCATTATTACCATTTGTAATTTGGCACACTATATACACGGAGCATGTGTGGCGAGGTGTCCCATGGTCAGACCAGCACGGAGCATGTGTGGCGAGGTGACCCATACCCATGGTCAGACTGGATACGCAGTGTCAATGTGCCGTTATATACGCAGCATGTGTGGCCAGGTGTCCCAGGTGACCCATGGTCAGACCAGCACGGAGCATGTGTGGCGAGGTGACCCATGGTCAGACCAGCACGGAGCATGTGTGGCCCATGGTCAGACCAGCACGGAGCATGTGTGGCCAGGTGTCCCATGGTCAGACCAGCACGGAGCATGTGTGGCGAGGTGTCCCATGGTCAGACCAGCACGGAGCATGTGTGGCGAGGTGTCCCATGGTCAGACCAGCACGGAGCATGTGTGGCGAGGTGTCCCATGGTCAGACCAGCACGGAGCATGTGTGGCCAGGTGTCCCATGGTCAGACCAGCACGGAGCATGTGTGGCGAGGTGTCCCATGGTCAGACCAGCACGGAGCATGTGTGGCGAGGTGACCCATGGTCAGACCAGCACGGAGCATGTGTGGCGAGGTGTCCCATGGTCAGACCAGCACGGAGCATGTGTGGCCAGGTGTCCCATGGTCAGACCAGCACGGAGCATGTGTGGCGAGGTGTCCCATGGTCAGACCAGCACGGAGCATGAGCCCATGTGTGGCGAGGTGTCCCATGGTCAGACCAGCACGGAGCATGTGTGGCGAGGTGTCCCATGGTCAGACCAGCACGGAGCATGTGTGGCGAGGTGTCCCATGGTCAGACCAGCACGGAGCATGTGTGGCGAGGTGTCCCATGGTCAGACCAGCACGGAGCATGTGTGGCGAGGTGACCCATGGTCAGACCAGCACGGAGCATGTGTGGCGAGGTGTCCCATGGTCAGACCAGCACGGAGCATGTGTGGCCAGGTGTCCCATGGTCAGACCAGCACGGAGCATGTGTGGCCAGGTGTCCCATGGTCAGACCAGCACGGAGCATGTGTGGCGAGGTGTCCCATGGTCAGACCAGCACGGAGCATGTGTGGCGAGGTGACCCATGGTCAGACCAGCACGGAGCATGTGTGGCGAGGTGTCCCATGGGCAGACCAGCACGGAGCATGTGTGGCCAGGTGTCCCATGGTCAGACCAGCACGGACCATGTGCAGTGAGGGTGGGAGATGTATGACAACATAGAGTACTGTCTCACACAAGAAGTAGAACTTGCTACAAAAGAGAGCTAAATGACAGCATCAGCAGCGAATAACACTCGACATATATAAACTACCATGGTTGAAAAAGCAGTTGGTTCACGACGCCCAGACCATTATATCGCCTCAAACTGTCTGGTTGGTTATCGTAGCAGCTAAATGAACCACCTGAGGGAGGGGGGGGGGGTCACAATAACTAGTACAATGTTACATTTTATAATATATTTGGCAGAATAAGAACAGTAATTAAACACGATCATTATATATTAACTTTTTTATGAAGCCTTATTATATATGTTATATTAACTCTTAAGTACAGTATAATCTATCTTGTGACATTTTCTTGCCTAATTCTTTCCCTGACCCCTTCCAAGTGCTATATTGTCGTAATTGCTTGGCGCTTGCTCCTGATAGTTCCCTTCCCCTCCCTCGTAATTAGTCAATATTGTGCTATTGTCATATGACACCATAAATATGACACTATAAATATGTCCCCATATATACATATAATACCATACATACGGCACTATCAATATCTGTATCTATAAAATTGAATGTCAATCCGTCCTTTTGGCGGGGCGAAATTGAAGGGCAGAGTTTTGGTTAGGTCTTCCTGGCCAGGGCTCGAACCTAGAAGAAGTTGGTGGTGATTCCCGACGAGTCATGCTCCCACTACACCACCAGGAACTGTCTTAGTGACGCTGCAATGTTCCACTACAGATTATTCTCTCTTGAACGGTTCTAATGTTCTATCTTCTCACCAGTGAAATGTATGTTTATTGAAGTGGGAAAGGTTCCAAATAATTCCATATGACAAGCATCATTTAATAACAAATAGGCATCATCAACATATATTTTATAAAAGAACCGCATTAAAGTGTAAAAGGAAAATCATCATGTCAAATGTGTTCATTATGTTATGAAAGTACATAAGCCAAATATGGTCTCATAGGAGCCAGGTCTACACCATCTGTTTGACACTACTATTTATTGTTAAATAATACTCCTTAACAGCAGCTTTAATTTGGCTTTACAAATACCAACAACATTATAACATTATCTAAATTAGAAGACAAAATATGAAAGCAAATGTCAATAGTTTCATACAATGGAACATTTGTGAATAAGTCTCACATATAAACAAACATAACCGCCTGCAGGTTGTGGCCCAAACTGAGCAGACACTTAAAGTCCATTAAAGTTTTAATGGAAAATTAACTGTCAAAGAATATAAATATAATTAAAAAATTTCAAATTATATATGAATGTTCCACTGACTATATTTCACCCTAATGGGTGAAATTGGCACCCATTTCACCCAATATACCAGATGAAGTCTTCACCAGAGGAAGACTACACTGTATACCAGGAAAGGAACCTAAACTAAATAGAATAGAATAACTATCATCAGACTTAAAATATTTATTATTTAAATCGAGTAAAGTTCTGTTAAGTTAGTCTTCTCGTGTAAGTATGAATATAAGTATCAACCCCAAGTTTGGTACACTTGTAAACCAAGTGTACCCAAGTGTCCACACCAAAATGAACAAAGTGTCATATTAACCTTGTTTACATTATAAGATTTATTAAAAGCCAGACTCCACTCACTCTATCTCAGTAACGAGATATTTTTGTAATAATAATAATAATAATAATAATAATAATAATAATAATAATAATAATAATAATAATAATAATAGTCATTTATTCACAAGAAGGTACAATGGGTTGGAGATTACATAAGATTGGTATTTGTACATTCTTGCAAAGCCACTAACACGCAGTGTTTCGGGCAGGTTCTTAATTCATAATGTAAGACGAAAAGTACATTGTAGCAGGGATATACATATATATATAAATATATATAACTACAATATAAATTGGCAGAGGTGATTATACTGGTGAAGATATATGTCTTAAGTACAAATATTACAGTAGTACAGATACAGAGTGAATTTATCAGCCTTTAAATTATTCATTTTTGTAATGAACCACAAAGGCATTCTAGACACAAAATGATTAACAAAATTGATTGTCTTACTTAACAACCCAAAAGACAAGAATTAATATTTAAGGAAGATAATTTACAAATATGAACCTTTTCTTTTTAACATTTCTAGTCATTATTTTGTATAATCTCTTGCGAACAAACAGAATAATTAAGTGTAAAAGAGACGTTCATCTGGACTTTAAACTTTTCCTGTCTACCTGGAGGTCCAGGTGAACACTTTCCTGTCTACCTGGAGGTTCTCCGTCCAGGTGGACACTTTCCTGTCTACCTGGAGGTTCTCCGTCCAGGTGAACACTTTCCTGTCTACCTGGAGGTTCTCCGTCCAGGTGAACACTTTCCTGTCAACCTGGAGGTTCTCCGTCCAGGCGGACACTTTCCTGTTTACCTGGAGGTTCTCCGTCCAGGCGGACACTTTCCTGTTTACCTGGAGGTTCTCAGGTGAACACTTTCCTGTCCCTGGAGGTAGCCAACGAGGAATACGTATACATATATACGTCAGCGGCGTAGCCACGTTCTAAAGTTCACACCAAAAAGGCGCCATCACACAGCAAATCATTTTAAACAAAATACATTGATAATGTGTTTAAAATATAAACCAAAGGAAGATAAAGTTTTATAGGAAATGCATAATTGTTATTTTGTTTTATATTTAAAAAGCTTTACAGTAAGCTCATCAATAACAAAACATAATTAATCATGCGTGTTATTCAATTATTACTGTTAGGGTGGTCATCTGAGATGTCCACGATTGCTGAGAGCTGGCAGGGTGTTGAGCTAGGATGTCCATAATGGCTGAGAGCTGTTAGGGTGGTCAGCTGAGTTGTCAACAATGACTGAGAGCTAGCAGAGTATTCAACCAAGTGTGCCACAGTGGTTGAGGAATGGCTGGGTGCTCAGCCGAAGGATTCTACGTGGTTGAAGACTGCCAGGAAGGTGAAGTCTTGCAGGAAGATCAAGTGAAGTTTTTATAAGCATTGAAGGCGTTCAGGTGGCGGATGGTCGCCGTGTGCAGGAAGTTGTACTGTTCCTGTGGAGTTTACACAACACATTATCTCAAGTAATTTATGTATTTCCTTCCCCTTCACCAATCATAATACAACATGCTCGGAATTTTCATATATACTGTCTATTTACTATATATACATAAAATATTTTATTATAAATTATAACGTCACTACCAACAGTGTCAATAGTTCACACCCAAAAATTATTGAGCTTTACTTAAAAGCCTTAAAGTCTTCACAAGTCTGAGAACATCAACCGATTATCACAATGTATTATTTAGCGGCATCAACAAAGTTTCCTATTAATGTTACATCTAAGAAAGATGAATGTAAAACAGCTCCATGCAACCTTCTCAATAAATTCTGCCAAACAGAAATACTTATTTTTCATCATTTAAGTTTGTATACAGTAAAACATATAAATATAAACATAACTATTTCACACTCATTGAGAAGTAAAGAAAGTGGCAGAGATCCCCCAGTGTGGCAGAGAGGTCACATAGTGTAGAAGAGAGAGTGGTCACACAGTGTGGGAGAAGAGAGAGTGGTCACACAGTGTGGGAGAAGAGAGAGCGGTCACACAGTGTGGGAGAAGAGAGAGTGGTCACACAGTGTGGGAGAAGAGAGAGCGGTCACACAGTGTGGGAGAAGAGAGAGTGGTCACACAGTGTGGGAGAAGAGAGAGTGGTCACACAGTGTGGGAGAAGAGAGAGTGGTCACACAGTGTGGGAGAAGAGAGAGTGGTCACACAGTGTGGGAGAAGAGAGAGTGGTCACACAGTATGGGAGAAGAGAGAGCGGTCACACAGTGTGGGAGAAGAGAGAGTGGTCACACAGTGTGGGAGAAGAGAGAGTGGTCACACAGTGTGGGAGAAGAGAGAGTGGTAACACAGTGTGGGAGAAGAGAGGGTGGTAACACAATATTAGAGAGTGGTCACACAGCGTAGGAAAGTGGTCACACAGTGTGGAAGAGTGGTCACGCAGTGTGGGGGAGTAGTCGCACAGTGTGGGAGAGTGGTCGCACAGTGTGGGAGAAGAGAGAGCGGTCACACAGTATAGGAGAAGAGAGAGCGGTCACACAGTATAGGAGAAGAGAGAGCGGTCACATAGTATAGGAGAAGAGAGAGTGGTCACACAGTGTGGGTGAGTGGTCACACAGTGTGGGTGAGTGGTCACACAGTGTGGGGGAGTGGTCACACAGTGTGGGTGAGTGGTCACACAGTGTGGGGGAGTGGTCACACAGTGTGGGGGAGTGATTACACAGTGTGGGAAAAGAAAGAGCGGTCACACAGTGTGGGAGAAGAGAGAGTGATCACACAGTGTGGGAGAAGAGAGAGCAGTCACACAGTGTGGTAGAAGAGAGAGTGGTAACAGAGTGTGGGAGAAGAGAGAGTGGTCACACAGTATGGGAGAAGAGAGAGTGGTCACACAGTGTGGGAGAAGAGAGAGTGGTCACACAGTGTGGGAGAAGAGAGAGTGGACACACTGTGTGGGAGAAGAGAGAGTGGTCACAGTGTAAGAGAAGATAGAGCGGTCAAACAGTGTGGGAGAAGAGAGAGCTGTCACACAGTGTGGGAGAAGAGAGAGAGTGGTAACACAATGTGGGAGAAGAGAGAGTGGCCATACAGTGTGGGAGAAGAGAGAGTAGTCACACAGTGTGGGAGAAGATAGAGCGGTCACCCAGTGTGGGAGAAGAGAGAGTAGTCACACAGTGTGGGAGAAGAGAGAGCGGTTACACAATGTGGGAGAAGAGAGAGCGGTTACACAGTGTGGGAGAAGAGAGAGTGGTAACACAGTGTGGGAGAAGAGAGAGCGGTTACACAGTGTGGGAGAAGAGAGAGCGGTCACACAGTGTGGGAGAAGAGAGAGCGGTCACACAGTGTGGGAGAAGAGAGAGCGGTTACACAGTGTGGGAGAAGAGAGAGCAGTCACACAGTGTGGGAGAAGAGAGAGCGGTCATACAGTTCACACTCGTCTAAATCAGCTGGTTTTCTTTTAAAACTGTAAGGTTATTAAAATTCTAAATCAAACTATGTTAGGTTAGGAGAGGCTTGATCAGCCTATTCTAGGTTATTGCTTGAGTGGGTTGTGTTAGGTTACGTTGCGAAAGTTAGGATTCATTTCATACAATTAGACCTGTCGTCGACCGTCTTGTAGAGGAAAGTAGATGCAGGAGAGAAAAATTTTCACTACGAAACATACGTCTTGAGAAGATGGAAGAGGAACATAATGAGGTGCAGGAGTGAGAAGTCTTCATGTGAGAGAATGAATTACCAGCGAGCTTATAAATGAGTGGTAGTGAGTGTACTCATTTATGGTAGTGAGCTATCAGAAAATAGCACGGTGGCCGCAGTAGCAAATTTCATAAGGAAACTTCACCCATAATAATAGGTAGAAATCCTAAAAAGGTAAAATCAACTTATTGAGTGGCGGAGTACTGGCAGGAGTTTGTGGTCAGTCGGCTACGACCCTTCAACCATCTGTGTGTACAGAGGCCTCCACCTGTTACGTCACGAGGCACCACGTGACCCAAGGAACACTTGTGATTCATGGCGCCTCCCTGAGCCTACTATCTGATTGGCTCTTTCAAAAAAAGAAGGGACAGTGAGGAAGCGGGAGGCTAGGCTGCCCAGGACACCGGACAGGCATTCTGTCTTGTGTCGCGACACCTGTGAGACGTGGTTCTTTGGTTACGGCCACAACTAGAGAGTTGTCACGTCTAAACGCGACACTAAGCTCATCTCGCTATCTTTGTTCCGACAACGCGAGTCATTCTACAGAATCTGGGTTTTGGAACGATAGGAATTACTATATTACGAGCGAAAAGAGATATATAGAGATTTTGTACAAACGTGTGATCTCAGCAGAGTGATAAAGACTGCAGTGTTAAGATCCGTGATCGTCGTCAGCATCTGTAGCGATCCGTCAACATATTGCTATGATAGCTGACTAGATGGGAATAAGCAAAGGTTTCCCAGAGATCTATGATTCCTTCGGAATACATTAGGCTAATTACAGTTATCTTTGTGGACATAAAAATTTTCCCCCAAACCGTGCCTCCGAGCGTGGTGTTCAGCTCACTTTTAGAGCGAGCAAATTTCATCCATACGGGAGGGACGCTACCCACTCTCGCCTCACCAGTGTCACCCAGTGCTCTGCGCCGTGGTGCTCGATTTGAACAGCCGACATCGTCGCCTGTCCATCAGCAGGTCATCCTCCACGTTGTCACGCAAGTCCCCCAGGTGCAAAAATTGCTGAGTTGGACCTTCAATCAACTGCAGAATTAATCACTGTATGTATGAGGAGAGATTGAATGGGAAGGCCGGTCTATTAATGTGATTACTCATAAAATTATCTCTGTGTTGTTTGTGCTGAGTTCCTAGTCTTGACTTTACATCAACTTTTCGACTTGACGTTGTCCATTAGCACCTGTACAGGTGAGGGAAGCGTTGTCGAGGAACTCACGTGTAAAGGACGATTACAGTAAGTCTGTGGGATTACTGTGATTCAGTCTCTGTTGTTGTAAATATGTTACACATATTTACACATTTATTCAGGTTGCACTATTCTGTTGAAGTTGAAGTGCGGTTCAATACATACCAACACTGTAAAATTCCATATGTATACCTGTATCTCTTTTCAGGGGAAAATCAGTCTTGAGCTGTTAAGAAGTGTGATTGCAGGGTAAAGTGTTACTGTGTTTTCTGAATTGTCTGCATAACAAGAATTTATTTGATCTTTTATTATTTAAATTGAAGGATCAGTGAGTGTTTCATCATTGAGATTAGCTGTCCGTTGAGGCAGTATAATTAGCGAAGTTAGAACAGTGTTGACTGATTCTTGTTTGACAAGCTATCGTGTGTGATAGCGTAGTGTTAACGTAATTCGTCTTCATTAATTATCTGTCCGCATGACAGTAATTTATATAATGACTTACTGATTGTTTAATTGAGTAACACAATAATTACTGTAGAGAATTATTGTTTTATTGATTGTCTGTAGTGACAGAGTAATTAACGTAAATTATTTTTGATTGTTTGATGACATCTAACAGGAATTAACATTAATTGTTTTGTTTTGATTGAATTTATTGAAGTCAATTGTTTTGGCCTGTGATAGAACGATTAATTGTTTTGATTGCCGTCCTTAGAGACATGTGTTAACGTAATTTAGTTCTTTACCGAAGACTGTCTCAGTGACCAGCCTGGCGGTGTTTGTTGTTTATTAATTGTTTTGCAGCAATTGTTTTGATTGCATTTCTTGAGTACAAGTGAGCACCCACTTGTTTAGTCTTGTTCTTTGTATCAGCCCAAAGCGGCAAGGACAGGAATCTGTCCTATATTTAGCTGTTTGAATTTGTGTCACTGACAGACAATTAACGTAACGTTAAACTGAATGTGCTTTGGATTAGTATTAGGTTTTTGTTAATAAATTGTTTTGTTGCCA